CTGGAGAATTGCATGATTAGCCTCATTGAGCATCTTTAAAGCAGTCAATTTCATGAATTGCATGATTGAATATATGCCACATGCCCCCCTCACGCCCTCCCTCCCTCCCTCCCTTCCTTTTTTTTTTTTTTTTTCTCCCCTCCCTTTTTTTTTTTTTTTTCTGCTGAACAAGTAAAAAATCCTTCAATTTTTCAGCTTAAATAACTGGTATTGTTCCTTCATTTGGATTCTTCTTATTTTTTAAACCATGGAAACTAAATCACATTAAGATTAGTCCATTTTCTTTGGTAGCACAAGGCAATTATTCAGAATTTGATTCAATGAAAAAAGGAAAAGGAAAGATGTGAACTGGTTGCTGAAATATTCACTTTGCAAGCATTTTTTTTTTAATTGTATATATGTTAGAAAATTGGTTTTGTACATGGTTTTTGGTCATCTTTGAGCCAAAATAAAAGTGTGACAGACAAATTCTGTTTTGAGAACATAATGTTAAACACTAGCCTTGATCGTTTATATTTTTGTTCATAACAGTCTGTGGGTTCTTTCTGTTCTCTGTTTAATACATACGGTTACTCTTTCAATGTTGTATTTTTATTATTCACAGAATCACAAAATTGTTTCTGTTTTCCTGTTTGATAACAGTTCGTGTTATACTTCAATTATTTCAATTCTGTTACTGTTTGACATTTATAGTATCACACAAAATACTGTTTTTCTAACATATACTCGTTCTTTTGTTTTTTGGGGGGTTAATGCAGAGCAATTCAGCGAAGGGTACTTCACATTCTGGGCAATCATAGCAATGGCATGGGGTACAATTGGATCAGTTGCAATTATAGTTTTGTCATTGACAGAAAGTTAGCAAACTATCCAAAGCGTCATTCTTGGCATGTTTACAAATGATAGGTTTATGGAAAAGCTTGAAGAATCGAATTTGAAGCTGCATACGATCATGTTGGCAATACTTGAAGCAGAAAAAATTTACTTGCTTGAGAAAGGGAAGGCCAAGAAAAATGAAGCATCAGAGCCAGATGCACACATTGTCCCTCCCTAAAACATTTCTCACCCAGTTCAGCATTAATGAGTGGCACAAAATTCTGCTTGGATTTTGAATTGATGAGGTCAAAAAGGGATAAAATTTGGTCTTGTAAATGAAAAGTTCAAAAAGGGATAAAATTTGGTCTTGTAAATGAAAAGTGTAACAACAATTGGTTTCCACCTTAGGATTGGTAGCAGGGTGTTTTTTCCACTTTGGTTTTCAGTTTAAAAAAAAATAAAAATTGATTTGTTCTTGAGCCTTGCTCATTTTTGAAATTCATGTTTGCGTTCTTGGTGAGAATTTTGACTCTGATACAGCTACCCTCCCTTTTTGAGGTACTATAAGTGATGTTTATACATATACTGAAAAATAAAAATGTTATGATATTATTATCGAGAAAAAAAATAGTGATTAATGAACATAATTAAGAAGTAAATCATTTTACTATTCAAAAAGCAAAACATTAAATAAATAAATAAATAAAAAGAAAAAAATAAAAAGTTGCATATGAGAAGAAGGTGAGTGTGAAAAGAATTATTATTGGTTAGGAAAAGGAAAACAAATAGGAAAAGAGATTTCAAAACTCGAATCAATGACTTGACTGTTAAGAGTTTATGTTCATTGAAGCACAGTCCCTCAACTAGTCAGTGATTGTTTTTCCACATTGAAAAAGTATATACACATGCCAAATAGACAATTCATTTAGGAAACTACTAGACATTTAATAAATTTTGCATTCTATTCTATTTTATTTTCTTTTTGTACTAATTGATGTATCATGACATAAAAAAAATTACATTGTGAAGCAAGATTCACTTTCATAAATGTGATAGGCTTAAGTTTCCGATATACCAAAAAAAATAAATGTGATAGGCTTAACTGATATATTATATAATAAAGAAACTTTATAATTTAAAACATAATTCACTTTAATAATGTGATAAATGTCAGTAGATAAAAATTCTATGATTTGTTGGGGAATTATATTTTTAGTGACTTTTTTGCTAAAATATGACTTGAAAAAGAATTGAAGCGTTTCGAAATAATTTTTTAATTTTTCTCGAAAAACATTAAAAAATATAGAGAATGGAAATGAATTTTTAACTTTTTTATATACTTTTTTTTTTTGGGGGGGGGGTCTTTTTCAATACCAAAATTGACTCTTAATAGTTTGTGTAATATTACTCTATTTAGTTTGTGTAATATATAAAAGAATATGTCCAATTTGGAAAAGGTTGTGATATACACCTCTAAGGCAGCTCCCTTTTGATCCAAAATCTAGATTGGAAGGTGCTATTTGTTCTCGTGAGACTTATTACGGGTTTTGTTTTGATAATTTGAATTATTCATTTTGTCGGACACTTCGTGTATTTCATTCACAAAAAATTAAATTGATTCAATAACTGTAACTTGTTCAATTTATTGCGCTTTTTACCCAAAAAAGAGAGTTGACAATTGTGTTTTTAAAAATAAAAAATATATTGTGTTTATAACAATTTTTTAAAAATAAAATACACAAAGTGCTTGATAAAATGACGATTTCGATCATTGAAACAGGACCCGTGGTGGGGGCCCATGGGCCCAAACAACACTCTCCAGTCTAGATTTTGAATTAGAGGGGATCCGCCTCCTTATAAAAAATAGGTAATACTATGGTACAATAAGCAAGTTATGTCATTTGTAAGTTTAATTATTACAAATAACATAACTCAATACTATAGGAGGTCATAATTAAAAAAAAAAAAAAAATTTGAGTTATAAACAAATATCGCATTAAGTATAACTAAATAACTCTGTACTCATAATTAAAATAATATTATAAATAAAATCATAATATATCATAACTAATAATTAAAAATATAATAAGTCTTAAAATAATGTTATAAATAAGGGTAAATTACATTAACACCCCTTGAGGTTTGGTCCAATTACTATCCACTCCTTGACGTTTTGAAAATTACATTCACACCGCTGTGGTTAATAGTTTCATTTCACAAACCCCCTGCTTATATAAAAGTTAACAACTCCTAATAGAAAAATATAAGAAATTACATTAAAAAAAAAAAAAGTAAAGGAAAGGGAAAAAAAAGAGAAAGTAAAGCAAAGCAAAAAAAGAGAGAGTGCATGAGTTTAATATCTTCATTCCGTCTAAATAATTATAATGATAGGGGGGTTAGTGTAATTTCCTAAACGTCAGGGAGTGATATGTATTAAACATAAACCTCAGGGGTTGTCAGTGTAATTTACCCTATAAATAATATATCATAACTAATAATTAATAGGGTAAATTACACTGACACCCCATGAGGTTTATGTTTATTACAGTTCCCCCTCATCTTTTGGAAATTACATCTCTCCCTGAGGTTTAAAGTTTCATTACAGATTCCCCCTTTAGTAATTTAATTTTTTTAAATACCAATTTTGCACGAGTAAATTACATTGACACCCCTCACATTATAGAAATTACAATCCCCTCCCTAAGGTTTAAAATAACATTACCAATTGCCTCTTCAGTTAGTATTAGTTGGAAAAAAAATTCATTGAAAAAAAAATTAATTGGAAAAAAAATTAATTGGAAAAAAAATTATTTGAAAAAAAAATTAATTGAAAAATTTTTTTGTTAGTAAAATTTTAAAATTTCTGTTTAAAAACCAACGTAAGCTTATTTTTTGAATTTACATTTTTTCCTCAAATTTACAAACTGAGACAACCATTTATAAACCAAAAAAATTATCAAACAACTTTTTATGACAATTTTTAAAATTTTTGAAAATATAAACTGAAAACTGAAAACGAAATGGTTACCAAATAAACTTGATGGTAAAAATGTTGTAAAATTAACAAATAATTAAATAAGTTATCAACGTAAGAAATGACTTATCAAAAGATTCTTAGGCTATGTATGGTTTGATTTTCAGAATTTTTTTTTAAAAAATTAAAAATTAATTTGGTTAAGAAATAAAAAATAAAAAAGTAAAAAATATTATGTGTTTGGTGGTACATAGCTTAAGAATTTGTTATTCTCAGCCTATGTATAGTTTGATAATTATTTTTTATTTCTTAACCAAATTAATTTTTAATTTTTAAAAAAATTTCTAAAAATCAAATTATACATAGTCTAAAAATATTTTGATAAGTCATTTATTACATTGGTAACTTATTTAATTATTAAAAATTAAAAATTAATTTGGTTAAGAAATAAAAAATAAAAAAGTAAAAAATATTATGTGTTTGGTGGTACATAGCGTAAGAATTTGTTATTCTCAGGCTATGTATAGTTTGATAATTATTTTTTATTTCTTAACCAAATTAATTTTTAATTTTTAAAAAAATTTCTAAAAATCAAATTATACATAGTCTAAAAATATTTTGATAAGTCATTTATTACATTGGTAACTTATTTAATTATTTGTTAATTTTACGACATTTTTACCATCAAGCCTGTTTGGTAACTATTTCGTTTTCAGTTTTCAATTTATACTTACAAAAATTTAAAAAACTGTCATAAAAACTTGTTTGATAATTTTTTTTTGTTTATAAAAGGTTGTCTCAGTTTGTAAATTTGAAGAAAAAACGTAAATTCAAAAAATGAGCTTACGTTAGTTTTTAAACAGAAATTTAAAAACTTTACTAACAATTTTTTTTTCAAATATTTTTTTTTTCAATTAATTTTTTTTCCAACTAATACTAACGGAGGGGACAATTGGTAATGCTACTTTAAACCTTAGGGAGAAGATTGTAATTTCTAAAATGTGAGGGGTGTCAATATAATTTATCTAATGAAGACAAAATTGGTATTTAAAAAAATTAAATTGCTGAAGAGAAAATTTCTAATAAAACTTTAAACCCCAGACAATGTAATTTTCAAAAAGTGAGAAAGAAACTTCAGAGGTGTTAGGGCCGTCAGTGTAATTTACCCTAATTAATAATATAGTAGGTCACAACCAAAAGTGTATATTTACATACCCGGAATAGAATTTCCCTTTAATATAGTAGGTCACAACCAAGCATATAGAGTAACACTTTGGCCGCTGGTGTTGGGAAGTACACACAGAGAGATCGAGAGAGAGAGGGAGAGAGGGGCGATGGCCGAGATTGATAATATGATCAGTGACTTTCCTCACGATTTCAAATCGTATGTGAAGAACCACCAATTGCTCTGCCAGCGCGGAAAGAGCAAGTATGGCTGGGTTTTTTGGAGTGGAGAAGACGACCCTCGCGAACTTCCTCCTCCTCCGCTTCGCTTGTCCGGTCAGTTTCTCTCTCATCTCATATCATATGATCCTATTATTTACTGGTTGACTTTCACTCCAATTATTCTCTATTTATCCAGTGTCTTATTAAAACACTCACTATTAATTTTCTTTTTCTTTTTCTTTTTTTATTAAAAAATTTAATTCTATTTTCGTCAGTTTTATCTCTGAGAAAATCGCAACTCCTGTTGTCAGTGTTAAAATATAGGGAAAATATCAAATAGGTGACACAAAACAACACGGTAATACATAGCATTTCTAACATGTGCTTAAGTAGTAGGTATGTGTTAGTAAAAGTTATGCGAACTCTCAATCGACGGGAATTAAACAATAATTTTAACTAAACAATCAAACAATCAGCAAGATCAAACAGAGTAAACGAAGCAAACTAAGGATGATTTCAGTATGAAACCACTAATGTTTACAAGGGTTACAAATTAAAGAGAGAAACTACTCCTAAATTACAGAGCTACTCCTCCGTCTAACAGCTAAGTGTTGTTGAGTTGTGCGTGTCCATTCTCTCTGCAAACTTTCAGCTTTTATATTTTCCCTTGAAACTCTTGCCCATGATCCAACCTTGAAATTTGCTGGCCAATCCTCTCCCAATTGCTGCAACTGCTTCTTCATCTTTCTCCAGCACTTCACACAAACTTGCCACATGCCCCCCATGATCTCTAGCACTACGTTCGACCCAGGAAAATATTTTACTAAGGCCCGTTACTGTTTACAACCTTCTTTGTATCTTTAAACTTTTTATCTTCGACCCAACTCCACTTTTAAACCTCCAGCCACGTCATTACACAGTTTCCCTTCAATTAATGAGCATGATCAGCAGAGGAAAGCTTTCTAATTCACAAATATGGTCCCCTATAAATCAATTCACCAAGCCAATTAACCAATTGATATCTAGCTCATGACCCTCTCAGCCAATCGATGCACATGATCAAGTCCTTCACACCACGTAGCCCCTTGACTGCTAAAAGACTTCATTTTGACTTCTCTACCACGTGTCATCATCGGATTAATCCACTTGTTGATAGGAATTTTACGAAAGTGGGTGCAAACAATGCCCCCCCAACTCTTTAAGATTGAGAAGCCTCGAATTCTTGAAGAGTTGTATATAAAATTGATTTGACATTTGTCGAAAATCATAACCAAATTAAATCTTTTTTACTAACCAACAATGGTTATAAAAATGATTATTGTAAGCACATGTTAATAAGATAGCCGCCAAATTCTTGGCCATATTATAAATGTACTGTGGTGTATCCTCCACAAATGTAGTCCAGTGTAGGCCATATATGACTGAGTTTCTAAATTGGTAATAAATTGCTTCAATCGACAGCGCATTTACGTAATCCACAGAGCAATGCCTAAACCAAGTGTGAAACCAAGAGTTGGCCTATTATTTGGAGCAAAATAATCTTCCAATGTTGGCATTGGTAGACACTCTAAACATTAAAGCAAACATTTGAAATTCCAACTTGTTTTATTTTCTAACAGTTAGAAAGTAGCCAATCAAGATCCACAAATCCAAAAAAGATTTTGAATAACAAAAGTCATAAATGACCTTAAAAATTCATACATGTTGACATCTTGAACAATGTCAAAATTTTTAAATTCATGAACATATGGTTGTTCATCATTTTTGGTCATATTTGGATTAAGATCACACTTTTTAACCAAATTATTTACATCACTCTCTAGACTAAGAGTTGCAACAAAAGGCTAATTTTTTCTTTCACACATTAATAGGTTGTAAACATTTTTTGAAAACCCAAAAAATATTTCTTCCTTGTAAAATTGCCCCTCTGCCATGGAATTTTTATTCTCATGGCCTTTTGTTTTTTCACCCGTTACAATTGATGAGTTAACTTTTTCATCATTCACAATCTTTAAAGGCGTGGAAAGAACAATTGAAAAGCCACAAATTTTGACTTCTGTAAGAATTTTTAATATTTCCCTCCATTGATGAATTTCGATCTCAAATTAGTCAATTTGATTATCAAGTTGACCAATCACTTTATCAAAATGATTTCGTGTTTCCAACCTCAAATAATATGACAATGGCGCTATTGTTTGAAATTTTTGCCAATCAAGATAATCAATTTTTTCTTGTAAATATAAAATTTCATTCTCAAGCCAACACATTTCATCTTCACAAAACCAAATAATTTCATCTATTTTTCTCGACACGTCATTCCATGGAAATTCATTTATTGGAACATCATGTGATTGTGTTTTACGAGATAGATCTTCTTGTACTTCATCTTGCCTTCGAATTCTTGTCATCATTCCAAATTAGGAAGATGTCCCACTGGATTATTAGTAAAAAATTATGCTAAGTCTTGATCGATAGAGACTTAACAACAATTTTAACCAAACAACCAAACAGACAATCAAACGGCTGTGTAAAGGTTTTAAATGTTTTGAAAGTACATGGACTTCTTTGGAACAATCGAAAGAGTGAAGTATCCAAATAAACAAAGACGACTCTAGATGAAATTATCTAAGTTTACAAGAATCACAAGTCACAAATTACAGAGAAAACTACTCTAAGTTAAGATAGTCTACTATTAAGAATTAAGGTAGACTACTCCTAAAGATAAAGAAAAAAAAACTATGATAAGTTTGACGATTTGTTCATCCCTTCTCCAATCTGTCTTCAGTCTATTTGTAGAGTAACAATTGACAGTTTCCTATTCGAAGTATAACTACTGGAGGCAGCTTGGCCACTTCATGAAACAAAATCAAGCCACATTCCTTACAAAGTGCAACAAACTGCCCCACGTTGCCAACTTGCCCCCATTTTCTAAGCCCATTTCATCACTTGTAAACCATAACAAAACAAATAATAAGAATAATAATAATGTGGTCATAGTAGGTCTTTAAAGATGATTTATAGTCTGAATCGATAGACCAAAATCAATTAGCCACAATCAATGATATTAGATTTGGCCATGATTGACATGTCACAATTGACAGGACACCATCAATAAAATTATATTTGGCTACAATCGATAAGCCAAATCAGTAAGATTAATAGACAGAAAAATATTTATGGTGCAAACAGTATGTTAACAATTTTTTTATATATTAAGATTTAGATTAGATTAGTAGATAGACAAAACAAATAATAAGAATAATAATAATGTGGTCATAGTAGGTCTTTAAAGATGATTTATAGTCTGAATCGATAGACCAAAATCAATTAGCCACAATCAATGATATTAGATTTGGCCATGATTGACATGTCACAATTGACAGGACACCATCAATAAAATTATATTTGGCTACAATCGATAAGCCAAATCAGTATGATTAATAGACAGAAAAATATTTATGGTGCAAACAGTATGTTAACAATTTTTTTATATATTAAGATTTAGATTAGATTAGTAGATAGATGCTCACTTTCTTTTCTTGTTGGTTACTTTATTCTTACTTTGCCTTTTTTTTTTTTTTTTTTTTTGGGGCTTGGAAATTTGCAAAATCGTACAGAGATAATCGATGGAACCCTGATTGCTCCTCCTATTCCAGAGTTTATGGAGAAGATAAAATCCTACTTTAAAGATATAGTATTTTGCTGGCATTGTACCCAATTTCTTATACAGTTTTGGAAAGTCATAAAAATTGGGGGCAAGCGCTTACTTACTACTCGACACCAACCTTTTGGTTTTAACAAGATTGATGAAGGACTTTGTCAGTATAGGTTGATATCTTTGGATTATGAATTTGATATGGATCGAGTGAGTGACGAATATCTTGGCCTCCATGGCCGTGTGTTTCGGCATCAACAGTGGGAGTCTACTCCAAATGTGCAATATTACTCCTGCAAAGAGTATCCACAGCGCGATCGTGCTATCGTTTGCAATATTAAGCAATCTCTGGCTGTACCATTGTTTGACCCTTTGAGGCAACACTGCATTGGTGTATTTGAGATGGTGTCGACAACTGATATAATAAATGTATATTTGGGGAGTTTCCTTTATTTCGAGGTTTGTCCCCTAACTCCCTAATTGGGATAATCAATCCCATTTTTACGTTCTCTTATTTACTTTTATTTATTTATTTATTATGCCTATCCAATGATTGTTAATTTTAATTTTCAATGATGGTTTATGGTTCCTTTTTCTTTTTCTTATTTTTTTTGTTTATAGAGCTCAAATTATTTTACTAGTCGGTTCCATTTTACTGGCCAATCCTCAAATTATTTTACTAGTTGGTTCCATTTTACTGGCCAATCTTTTTAATGGTTCGTTAATGTTACCCATTCATTAATTTCATTGTGTAAATCATTTAACATAGAGTTCGACAACAAGTCTTATGCACGTATTGTGCTTTTTATTCTGATATCATATCATTGGCATTAATCATTTGGGTAAATTATACTGATCTCTCGTGTGGAAAATTGATAATTTCATTATGATGCACAAGTGCCAACAAAAAATGTCTTATTGTTAGCTCAGTTAACGTTATCATTAGTGTAAGGGAAATTGATGTAATTATAACAAAAATATAAGAATTACTATTTTATTTTTTCACCTCTCAAGGGAGGTGAGTAGAATTTACCTAATTGTTTATAGTAGCCCCATTTACTAGGCAATACAGATTTCTGCTCAAAGTGTTGGACCAATTGAAATACTCCATACCAGGGTAAGGTGCACCTGTCCAAAACAACGAAGTTGATCTCGGACAATTATACAATACCTTGGTGCAACCTAAGTTGGTCAGGTTAATAGCCTCAACTGTGCTGATTTTTTCATTTACTGTATAAACAATGTTTTGGTATTATTATTTATAGATCAGCTTATTTACTTAAAAAAGGTTGACTAATAATGTTTAATTGTAATTTTAAATTATAAATTATTTGATTTATTCAGTTTATTTGACCCCAAAAAAGAAAAAAAATTCTTCATAATTTATAGCTCTTTTTAACTGAAACCCTTCAATAAGTTTGGCTAGAAGAGTCTCATTTCTTTTGTCTTAATTATTAGAAAAAAAAAGTTATGTGACAGTTTATTTAATCAAACAGATTCAATTTTTTTTGCACAAATTATCAAAAGTTGTACCAAATAAATTTATAATTTATTTTAATTACTTTTAGCTAATAATGTAAAAAGCTATAGTCATAAAAGTTAACTTATAAGTGATACTATTTTATTTTTGCAAATATCTTTCAGCTTAAATCTCATTTCAATCCCCTGCAGATTCAAGGTTTGACAAGATCAAAATGTGAACATTTGTATCATGAGAAAGTAAGTAGCAAACTGTAATTCAAATGTTAAATCTTGTATTGTTTTGTTCATTAGCTGTTGTAACAACTCTGGGCTAACAAATATGTATTTCTGAATTATTATCAGGTCAAGGATGAAACTCCTGAAGAAATCAGGAAAATTCTAGACGTGGTGTATAGCACTCATTATCTTCCTTTGGCTCAGACTTGGTCCTTGTGTAGGCTTTGCAATGCAGTGTTCAGAAAATATAGAACTTGTCATAGAGAGGGACGTATGGGTGATTTTTTAGCTGCATGTGCTTTACAGCACCTACGAAAAGGGCAGGGGGTTGTTGGGAGAGCAATTTTGACCCAAAATTTGGTATTCTGCAAAGATATTACTCAATTTAGCATAACTGAGTACCCTTTTGCACACTACGCACACAAAGTTGGACTTACCGGTTCTTTTGCAATTTGCTTGCGGAGTAATTATATTGAAGACAATGTTTACGTGCTAGAATTCTTTTTGCCCCCAAACTACACTGAAGGTAGGGATCCGAGGATTGCTTTGGTTCCGTTATTGACAACAATGAAGCAGCATTGTAAAAGTTTTAAGGTCACTTCTGGGGAAGAACTAGGAGAAGAGTTGTCTATTGAAGTTCTTGATATTTCAGAGGATGGTAAACTTTATTCTTATCAAATACCCCAAACTGCAAGATCTCCAAATAAGACGGAGGATGGAGAAGAGACGGTGTTTCTAGATTTATCCTATCAACAATTACCCGAAGTGGATGCTATAGACACTGGAAACAATATTGTTAGTAACACAGAAGAAAACAACATTGTTTTTACTTCCTCACAGCAAAAACTCGTAATTAACTCGTCCCAGAGGCTACAAAGAAAAGTTGGAATTCCAATTAGCTTGGAGAAGGACGGAAAACTTGATTCTTTTAAAAAACCCCAAACTGCAAGATCTCCAAATAGAATGGAGAATGGAGAAGAGATGGTGTTTCTAGATTTATCCGATCAACAATTACTAGAAGTGGATGCTATAGACATTGGAAACAATTTTGTTAGTAACACAGAAGGTAACAATAGCGCTGTTACTTCTGTACAGCAAAATTGCATAATTAACTCGTCCCAGAGGCTACAAAGAAAAGCTGGAATTCCAATTAGCTTGGAGATGGACGGAAAACTTGATTCTTTTAAAAAACCCCAAACTGCAAGATCTCCAAATAGAATGGAGAATGGAGAAGAGATGGTGTTTCTAGATTTATCCGATCAACAATTACTAGAAGTGGATGCTATAGACATTGGAAACAATTTTGTTAGTAACACAGAAGGTAACAATAGCGCTGTTACTTCTGTACAGCAAAATTGCATAATTAACTCATCCCAGAGGCTACAAAGAAAAGCTGGAATTCCAATTAGCTTGGAGGATCTCCAGCAACGTTTTGGAATGAAACTTGAAGATGCTGCAGAAAGCCTTGGGGGTAAGCTTACATATTTAGGATACCCGTTCCTAGTTGGATCCTGTGGAAAATTCATATACTTTTGGTAGCAGTAAACAAAGTATATTTTCTTATCTAGAATTTGGATTTTTCGTTTTGCAGTTAGCCGATCTACAGTGAAGCGTGCTTGCAGGGAATATGATATCACCTGGTGCTCACCTTATAAGAGAAGTAAGGATAACCAATTGTTTTCCAATAAACTTGTCCAAGGTGTTGTTCAGGAACAAATCCTAGGATCTAGTCAGCCTCCAATTTCTGATCCACCTCATATGCAAGACATGGCTACTGCTTCTTGCACAAAGCCACATTTTATAGCAGTGCAAGACGAAAGTATTGTCACCATAAAGGCAAAATATGGAGATGATTTTATTAAATTTCAGCTCCCTGTGTCGTCGGGAATGGTAGAGTTTCAACACCAAGTGGCAAAGAGGCTAAAACTACAGGGTGGAACTTACCATGTCAAGCATCAAGATGAGGACAATGACTGGATTTTAATAGCTTGCGATGAGGACTTGCAAAATTGCATTTGCAATTCGATATCACAAGGGAGGAATAACGTCACAATGTCGATTCAGCCAATTACTAATTGCCCTAATTGCCAATCTTAAATCCTTAGCTGCATGTGGAATTCTCTAGTCTACATTTAAAAGACAATTTGAGGTTTGTATCTTGTATGCTTGTTACAAGTGTGTATGAATTTTATGTACTGCGTGTTGTTTACTTAATTGATTGTATAATATGATTCAAATTGGTTTGTTAGATTGTAAAAAATTCTTAATCTTAGGGCATGGTATTGTTTTAATCTTAAATTTGGGAAAAAAAGAAAAAGTAAAAGAAACGAAAGTTAAATTTGTTTCACAAATCTCTTTCCTTCTCTTTTTTTACTCTACAAATCATCCTAAAAATTCAATATCCAAATACAACGCAAGTGACGTTTGCAAATGGCTACAATTGCAAATGACTAAATTTTATTCTAGTCATTAGAATTCAGTGTAGTCTACATTACATTTAGCACTCTTACATTCTCACGAAATAGTAGCTCTACATACCCAAAACAAAATTATCTAGAATTTAAAATCTAAGACCAAAATGCATTCATGGAGTGATCCCACAACAAGAAGATTAAAACTCTACACTCTATATCTTAAATTCAATCAGTTTCTAATTGTTTTTTCTAGTTTTATAAACAAATTTACTTTAATCCCTTCACTTTTGTTTAATGGCAATCAAACTCTTACATTTTAAATCAAGTTAGAATATAACTTCCGTCCACCAGACTTTAAGAGGCTATAATATTTTTTCTTATTTAACATTTCTTCTACTTAATGAAACACACATTTTAAAATAATTCTCCAACAAAATTTGGTGAAGCTCACACACAAAAGTGCCTCCTTTCTAGTATAAATACACACACACACACACACACACACACACACACACATATATATATATATAGAGAGAGAGAGAGAGAGATAGATTTCTTTTCCATGGATATAACCACTTGTTGCTGAACTTGTCATGTATATTTTGAAACTTGAATGTAGACAATTTGGGCATTTTGTATCACATTTAGAGTGTCCTCAGCATATTAGATAGTTCTACAAAAATTGATAAAATGGAGGTGGGAAGGCATATTTGAAGCTGGCTGCTAACTGGCCCTGAAAATGCCGATGGACCAAGCATGTAAATATACAAATCGGAGGATACACATATTTTCATAAACAAATTTTAGCAGCAGTGAAGGCAGTGTCAGCCGCAGCGACACCACATGTAACATGGAATAACTGGCACAATTCATGATTATGAATATCGGGGGAGATGCAACCGACATATTATCCTCCACATCACCGCCAGTAAGGCTTCCTGCTGCTTTAGTACAGACTGATCAAGGAGCATGTTTCTGAATTCGGAAATTAGGTTTTGAGCGATCTTTCGCAGATTGGGCTGATGCAAGCTCTTTCATGGCTTCCTTTTCTAATTTCTTCTTTTCAGCATCTACCTGCTGCTCATTCTTGTCACGTGTTTTATTGTACATCTTAACAAAGATAGCCAAGATTTGTGTAATTACAGGCAGAAACCAAAAAAATTAACAAAATTTTTTCTAACTATTATTCACTTAGTTAAATTAAGTGGGAAACTTAAACATTTAATAGAAGACAAGACAAGACAAGACAAGACAAAACAAAAAAAATTACATAGGTCTTTCTTCTGGAGGTTCTGTGGCCGCATTGGCATGCCTATACTACAAGAAAGTAGCCCAAATAACACGGAGCTTTTTGCGACGGTATAGGTGCCGTCGCCAAAAATGGTCTTTTGCGACGATGTTTTCAAACTGTCGCCAAAAATGGCCTTTTGCGACGGTGGTGATCCCATTGCTAATGAACATACAAGAAAAATACAGAAACATTTGCGACGCCTGGTGTACCGTTGCAATTTTTTTTTTTTTGAGATGGGAAACATTTACTGTCGCAAATAGTGGACAATTCGTGACGGCAAAAGTCCTTCGCAAGCTAACTCTTGTTAAAACGGCGTCGTTTTATCAGTTAGGATTTATCATTTGTGACAGTTTAAATATGCCGTCGCAAAAAGTAATGAAATTTTTGCTATCCTGCTTATTTTAGCCCATTCGTGATCAAGTTTTCCCCAAAATCCCTAAAACCTTTCTGAACCAAAATCCCCAAAACCTGTCTGAAGCAAAATTCCCAAAACCCTTCAGCTAAAATTCAACAATGGTGAATGACGACGACGGCTAGCAGTGAGTGACGACAGTGAACGACGACGGCTAGCGGCGAGTGACGACGAGCAGCGAGTGACGATGGTGAGGAGCAGTCAGTCTCAATCGTGCCTCTCTCACTCACTTAGCAAGTGACGACGACTGTATGCCCTCTCTCTCTCTCTCTCAAAAGGGCGAAACAAAACGAAAAACAAAAAATGCGAGGGAGAGAGAGAAAACAATCTCCAATATATTCGAAATTTTTATAAAAGAAAAAAACCTGAAACGAATCAGGAATGGAGATTCATTCCTCTCCAAAGTGCTCCAAAGACCAACAGAACATCTATCAACAATGATTCAATTACGTGGACAAAGGTTTGTCTCCATATGTATATATGTTTGGGTGAATTCTTATCATTTTCTTCACAAATTGAACATTTAATTTAGACAAGGATGGGCGCATTACGGGAAACGATGCCACCAAGTTCTTCGCTATGTTGAATTTGCCTCGACAAGATCTTAAGCAGGTCTCTCTCTCTCTCTCGCTCGCTCTTTATACTTGATTTTCCATTGATTGTTGTTCCCTGTTTGTTTGCCGAGAAAATGGAGGGAAAAACAACAAATTAAGAAGTTCTAATTTTATCATTTAATTCTGTTATGTTTCTTCAAAATAAAACAAGGAAAAGTGTTATTATGTATGGCTCTGTTTGATTGTGTTTTGCTTTTCTGATTTCATTTTTGGAAAACAATGGTGTTTTATTGCTTATTTGTGTAGATAATTGTTTAAAATTTACTTCCATGGTCCTATGAGTTTTGCGCAAGTTAATGTGGTAGACCTATGCACCCGTCTTCCTTACCGTTTTCCTAAAAGGTCATGTTGATCCCCTCAATCAAAGATGTTGAGAGGTGGTCAGACAGACTTAATCTAAAGGGTTGCGTTGGTTCATTACTTGTGTTCTCATCATTGGCAGCTCGAGCTTTTACCATTGCGCTAAGCAACCTACTTTATTCCCCTTTTCATGTCTACAGATTTTGTGTCCGCACAATTGAGAGTGTAAATTTGTTTACACACTAAATTTGAACATTACACACTAAATTTGAACATTACACTTGATACTCATTGGTTGGTGTTGGTGTTGGTGTTGGAGGTGGGACCACCTCATTGAGAAACCAATAGGAAAGTGTGTATTGTTTACTTAGTGTGAACAAATTTGCTCTCCTCTGTTGATGTTGAATTTGCTAAACTTTGGTCCTGCTAGAGCTAGAGCTTTTCAATGTTATGAACCAAATGTGGCAAGTTTTTTATTATTTTAAATTATATGGTTTAACTGGGACAACTTATTCCAAATAAAGCCACAGGGGTATGACCTTTTTTATTCTTACACCCCTTTTTTTCCCCTTCCTCTAAGGGGAGTGGGGGTGAGTTGTTAAAATGGGAGTGTCCTGTGCCATCTACATCTTTATTTTCCTGAAAGAAATAAATCACTAAGGAACAGGACACAAGTCAATATTCATGTATGCATATATGTTTCCAGACATGCACACAAATACACTTGTATGGATTTTTATGTTGGGCATATTCTTCAATGCCATGTTAGTTTTCTAATCAACTTTCATGCTTGTCTTTGTGTTTCAGTTGCATTTGTAATTAGAGTTTGGTGCCTGCTGTTTTTAAGTGTTTCCCAATTTTGTTTTCATTTATTGTTTATTTGATGTCTACTTCATAATGACAAACCTTCATCTTCTTTTTCTTTTTCTTTTTTAATTTTAATTTTTCACACGGTGTGGGCAATTGCAGATTCCAAATGACAAGGTTTTCTTGGTTTTGCAGAGTTCATTGCTGCAATGCAGGTTCAAATTCATTTTTGTCATTTTTTTTTTTTTAATTTTCCAAATCTTTAATGGATGTAAAGTCAACTTATCTTTTGCAAATTGGCAACTTTTTACTTGTAAATTGCAGCTAGTTTCTTTGGCACAAGGTGGACATGCACCGACTGATGATATCTTAAATGGTGAAGGTGAGTAGTGTACGTTGTGCAGTTATTGTCGTAGCCTGTTGGATGCTTCGGGTGGTTTGACTGCAAGTTCATGTTGACAACCTGAACCGTGGATAAATGATGATCATAGTTTGGGTAAAATATTGTAACCTCTTGCAGTTGACTTGGAAAATCTAAAGCCTCCTGTCATGGAAGGTTTGGATGCAATACTAGCTGTAAGTATACTAATGTTTTTGTTAAATTGTTTTCTAAATTATTTTATGGAAGTCTTA